GCATTGACCTAGATGGTTATATCTGAGATTTCATATACATATTTCATAGTATACTACTCACTATTTGTCAAAGTTAATTCTGTGATGATGTTGTCCACCAGCATTTCCTCGACCTCCAGGGTGCTTTCTGTGTTTGCCTGCAAACAGATGTGTGTAGGATGAGCAACCGTAAATATGTTGTAATTTATGCTTTATATCACTTCAATATTCACATGCCTTACTTGCTACAAGTTTGAAAGCTGTACCTAGTAAAACTAGGTACTTAGTATGACTAAGCTAAACTGATAATTGTCCACGTGTAAAGAGTTTTACAGGGTACAGAAATGTGTATCCAGTACACACAAATGTATGGAATGTATGCAGACAAAATGTAAATAGCTCAATAATATAAAAAATCTCGACAAGAAACAAAGCTCTCGTAAATAAGTTTATTTTAAATCTTACAGTACACTTCCCAATTTCATCAATTAAGATGATCAAAACATTTTATTAAAAGATGCCTTTTTATGAACTGGGTCAAGTTTTAAGGTGAGATCGTTGTATTCATTTGTTATGAAGTTGCTGGCAGGGGTTCAAACTCACCGATACGTCCATGTCCATGACTCACATGGCCTCTAAGCTTCCTGGTCTTCTTTTTCGAGGTGGTCTACAATAGAAATTCATCAAACCAATTCATAACATGTACATCCAACTAGTTGCTAACACTCTACAAGCTATATAAGCTCATGCACATCAGATTTTTGCACAATGCAGTAATGTGCACCTAGTACACACACAAACTAAAAATGGATGCAGGAAAAAGTATACAGAGCATCACCCACGTCAGTCATATTCATGCCACATAATAGTTGAATACACACAAGGTTGGAGGGAGTTTAGTTTTACACCACACTCAGCAATATTCCAGCTATATAGTGGCAGTCTGTAAATAATCGAGTCTGGACCAGACAATCCAGTGATCAACAGCATGAGCATCGATCTCCGCAAATTGGGAACCGATCACAAGGTTGGACAAATGTAGGCCAGAAGGAAATCAGAGGGAAATAAATTAATTACATCGCTGCACTGGGAAACAAACTTACGTCCTTTTTTGTGTATATGTCGAAATTTTAAGCTTTTTCGTGCCCCTGCAAACCCTGATTGCAATCAATGGTCTTGGGTCAACAATGCACAAGAAAACAATGTTGCACAATCCGTTATTCTACTTTGAATTTTCCAATGGTTACAACTGATTTTATTACATTGCAATAAATTCTCCCTTTCGCTAGTAGTTTTCTTCAAGTAAATATATTTCGCTATGAACTTTAAAAGACAAAACCTTAGTCAAGGAAAGTAAAGTCTGGTGGTTCATAATAATAAACTATGTTTTATATAACATTAGTTGGTATGCTTTTAGTTTAACAGACTTCCGATCATTCCCGACACTTTAATGACAAAAATTATATGTTATATTTGTCAATTAAAAACATGTATTATGTCAAAAGGCCATATGAATTAAGTCATGGTTATGTTTAAGGTTAGGTAAACCCACCCCTTACCATGCTCACGAAAACAAATTGAAGTTATAAAAATTGTTTCTTTCTCATCTGACAAGTTTTCATGGAAACTGACTTTTTTCCAAAACACTTAGTCCTTTCATATGCCTTAATTTGCACTGATGAAATTAGTGGTGCGAGTGAATGTTGCAAAATGTGTAATACCGGAGTGTGCAATATTCTGACACTGCGACAGCAGCTTGTAAACGAGAGTCTAGACCAGACAAATTAGTGATTGGTATCTTGCAAAATAATCCACAACAGGATTCATTTAGTTACCTCAGGGTATCCAAACTTGCAATGTAAAACACTGGATTATCTGGTTCAGACTTGATTTATATGAAATATTGCTGTGTGTGCATTAAACAAGAAGCAAACACAATTTTTGCATAGAATATTTGGGTTTAACAAAGGGATGAAGGAACTGTAACAACCGAGTCCAAACAAATATACCGAATTTCTTTATTGGTGACCAATAACAGTTTAGCAGTAAGTGCATGGCAGTACTTGATTGTACAATGTTGTGAATGTTTTGCAATATCACAACTACTGACATGTATGGCAGACAAAACAAATTATGTTTAAACATCACACTTAAACAGGGCTGGTATGCATGCATTCAGTTTGTGATACAAGAAGAGTTTTCATGTTATTCAGGGGTAGACAAACAAGTCTATATCCAACCTCGCTAACACATGGCTAACCGGTCCCATTTGAAACCCTGTTCTGTACGCATGTTCTGATGCGTTTCAACTGATGCAAAGGCACGATAATGGAAAATGTTACCTATCGTGTGCAATAAAGGAAAGATTTCCGCCATTAACCCCCGTATTTTTTATCATTATAGGCCTAAGAATATACGCCTATGTCTATGTGTTTTTATAACCCTCGAACCCTAAAACCCTCGAAATAACCCTAATAAATAGAATACATTTCAAGCGTGGGTTACAGGCGGAACTCTTACCGCAATAAACGCCATGTAACTAAAGCACATAACTTTTAAAACGTATTTCATTAAGCAATACCAGCTGAAAATATTCCTTACACTTGTCAACACTAGAAATGCATCATATCGCGCACTCACATACAAAGTTGCATTAAGTTTTCAGTTCAAATATTTGCATTAGGGCGTAAAATATGACCACTGTATGAACAAGCAACCTTTATTTTATAACATATTGGCCTTGGTGATATTTTCAAGTGCCAGATTCAATCGCTACGTGTCGATAGAATTTCAGTTAGGCCAACGCTGACATACCATGATGGTGGATCAGTGAAAGAGGACGGAAGCGGAAATAGGTTTGGTAATGTAGTATTTTCCAAACAGCTAGTTACAGTAGGCGAATCATTTGACAAACGTTGTGGGGCCTTAGCGGCTGTGCTCGCCCGGCTGGATGAGAATATGTCTCCCTAATCTGTCCGTCAAATTCATATAGTTAAGTAGACCACATGGTCTTTGTGGTAAAATTGTCACGAACAAGTACCTTTTCAACAAAAATATGTACAAAATCTAAAACTCCCTAAATAGCGCAAGGCACTAGTTCATCACCTGGTCTTTGTGTGTGCTAAGAGTAATGAAAGACCTCCTATTAGTTATAGAGAGATATATATGATCGGGGAGATGATTACTAAAGGAAGGATTCTGATGACGGACAAGCTGAAAACTATATCCCCCGTATTGCATACCAGGAAGATACTATGTAAAATATCTACAGTGGGTATATAGCGTTCTCAAATATCGAAATCGATTAAAATAAGTAACCCTAAATTCTCTTGCATTCCATATGAAATTAAGTCTAAATGATTGTCCTTATGTTTATCACTCAAGTGATTGTCAACATATGTATGACTCCATATGCTCACGAGTCCATAGATTAACGTACGTTTATGACGCAAATGATTGTCAATACGCTTTTGATTCCAATGAGTGCAAACAGAACGGCACTTCCTTAATATAATGATTTGGATTTTTACCCCTTTCCTTTTTGTCTATGAATATCACATTTTTTCTCTCATAATATTATCGAATGATTACTACAAGGCACCATCAAAAGTCGTTTGCGGGTGATATTAATTCTTTTAGTGTTCGATGATTTCGCACAAATATTGGTCTCACTGGGTCTCCATGGCATAGTGCACGATTTTGTATAACAAGAAAAACAGGTTTATTTTCGGGAGAAATTATGCGCGTTTCTGTATCCATGCTCTTGGTGAAATAAACTATTGTGCGTTTAAATGAAACACGTAATACGAATGTGAGATTTATGTATTTAAGACGTATATTACGCTCATTATTTTCATTGTCCGTGTTGTAAACATCCTTTCATGTTGTAAGACGCGACTAACGGGATCGGGGGGTCAGACTGGCTGACTTGCCTGATGCAGGTCATCATATCCCAAATTGCGTAGATCTATTCTCAGGGTGACCCGGGTTATCTGGTCCATACCCGATTATTTACAGACTGTCGTCATCGAGCTTTAAAAACAAACTAGACACAAACAATTTCCTACAGGTGGTCACGGTTGGCCCAGGTGGCTAAACGCCGAGGCCTGTGATCCCACTGGTTCGAATCCGGTTGTGGTTTTGAGGTTCGTAAGCACCATAAACCGGCTGATATTTTTCATAAGTGGTAAATCATTATAACGTCAAATATTAAAATTTTCCACTAATTCGAAGGAACCCTTTTCTTTGGAGTACAAACAGAATGTTGTAAAACTGTTCCTAAGGGATTATCATAAGTTAGCTAGATGTAGTCTAGTCGGAAACATTGACACATAAGGAAACAGACGGGCCAATGTTAAGTTGTCATTTTCATCATCTGAAAGGATGACTTCCATGGATATTGACTCATCTCAAATTTAGCATAAAACATTATTACAACGTATTTATCTTACCGAAAACCTTATTGTTAATTTTGAATTGTTTGAAGCACGGTACAAATCTTTTTGCAGCCATCGCTAGATTTTGCTGACAAGAGAAACAGATTTATAGTTATCTCCCTTCCATCGATTTGCATTCGCAAAACATCGGTAATTTCCATACATCATACGTGATTGAATGTTATTCGAGATAAAGAATTACTACCTCGAAGTACAGAATGAGTTGCCATTGACAGCGGGGTACATTGAAATGTTACTCGCTTGTAAGCGGGGTACATTGAAAGTAAAGAAGAGCGCTCAGCCAATCAGAAAGCGACTTTTATGTGTGCGGTAAGATAAAATTAATTAAGCCTGTTTTGTATGGTCTTCATGTGCTTTGGTCACGCGCCAGTTGCTATTTCATAGATAAACACTGTAATCATGATATGAATAAGTAAAAACCTCAAAAATAACTGGGTTATTTGGTGAACCTTGTTGTTTCTTCCATCAGACGACCATAACCATTGTTGTTGGTTGTTAGGGAAAGTCTATGGAGCTACCGGAAGTTTACGGAATCACTCGATTTAAACCGGAAGTTATCGAAATGTTGACAGATCTGTGGAACCCGAGCGAATATAGGAAGTAGATTACACTTCGGATTGTTATGGATCAAGGAGGAAGAAATATGCTGAACTTTTGGCTGAGTAGGTTGTCATTTGATATTCATAAATAATGCCACTTCCCACATCTAGCGTTAGAATTCTACGCTCTGTCAACCCTGGCTGTCTCATCCCGGTGTCCAAAACATTCCAAATGAGGTTGGTCGCCTGTAGCGAACAGTTGACAACTAACCTGTCACGATGATTTGCTATTGTATTAGCTTTGGTTTGTCAAACTGGAGATGAAGATGCGTTAGAATAGCAACATACAATGCTCATTCAATTTTTGTTTCATGTAGGGATCAATGGCCATATATTTATTCTGATACAATTAATCAATAACCTGTAGCTGAATACTGACACTTGACATGGAAGACCAAATCAAATGTCTTTGGTTCCGTTGCACGTGTGGTGTGTCTTATCCAAGCGAAAACTTATGACTCCACGATATCCTATACATATTTAGGCCAATATCAGACAATGCATTTGCTTGTACGTGGATTGATTGTCATACTTAATGTCTCAATTGGTGAGGTGTAATGACGTTTACTGAGCGCAGTACTGTCTTTGACTGGTTCATGCTAATGCAGGTTTTCTAATGCCAACCCAGTAATCATAGAGGCAGTCTGTGTCTTAAAGAGATATTGTTCTAATTTGGTATTGATACAGACATTAGCATGATTAGGGCTGCAATGAATCAACTATGATACACATCACAAATATTGCTAACAAATACAAATGGGGGATACGATAACAAGTCAACAAATGATGTATTGTTTTGGTATTCAGTGAAAAAATTACAAAATAACATTTTTTATGTTTTGACCGTGTAATCCCAAATATGACGTATGTTACATTTGACCACTTTCTAAATGGCATTGTGTAATCATGCTGACAGTGTTAATGTATCACAACAATGAGCAGTGATCACATTACTGGCAAAGAGTGGCAAGTGGGTTAGATGCTGAGTTTGTGTGATGGTGATTAGGTGCCTGATTCTGCAAGTGTGGGTTTAAATCCCTGATGACAAAGTACCCAAAGTAAGCCAAGTACTTTACCAATATAACTGTACTTTACCAATAGTAAAGTACCTCAAATGGAAATTTGTTGGCAGTGTCCTTAGGACAAATGGAAAAAAAACCCTGACAGCTTTTGTTCAGAGACTATTGAAACTTATTTTCATATTTAGAATTCTTCATATTCAGATTGTGTGATTTCCGCATGATCAGCAATGTATTGAGTGATACATATAGATGTTATATAGCAGAGCTCCAGATAAGATATAGCTCATGTGGGTACTGTACCCACTGTATTTTATGGGAGTGGGTATTATGAATGTTGAGTGGGTATTTCATTTTCCGTTACCCACTGCTTTCAAATATGTGCGTATTTCAGTCACTTTACTCACCTAAGTATTACGTCATTGAGTAAGTTTACTAAGCAGGTATGTTCTGCCTTATGTCATACCTAATCAAAACCAACTTAAAAATAATGGAAATTATTTCATAAAACATCACGTATCCTATACTGACATTACAACACTTGTCCTATACTAACAGTACAACAATGTCGATGTCTTTTCATTAACAAGTGATTTGTATAAATAATGCGTTTGTTTTAAACTTTTTAGCATTATCTAACATTTTAAATCGTGGTGGTATGCAACAATTATTTTTCAATCGTCATTCTATGTGTATTTTAGCCAGATACACAGCTTATCTGGGCAACAACTATCAGTAGAAGTAAGGGGTTGTAATTGTGTGTGTTGAAAGAGCTGATCAAGTGCAGCAATTTAGTTGTGCTTGTTGATTGACAATGTAACTCATTAGAATTTTCATTCAAGAAGGACTGAGAGAGTTGTTGTTAACTAAAGGGTTGATGGTATCTGTATTTCTAATATTTTCATGTGTATATGCTAAAAGAGGTTATCTATTTTTAGTATTTTAGGGATATTTATTGTAGTGTACACTGAGGTAATTCATGATCCTTGTAATTTAACACCATAGATATATATATATATATACACCCACATACAGGCACCACAAAGGTGTCTATTTTTCTGCAAATATATTAATTCCCTAATGGTATGTGCGATTCGAATGTCTGTCTGTCTGTGTCTGTCCTTAAGAATAAATATCAAATCCTAAAAGTTATCTGGACCCTCAGCCTCAAAGCAACATTTAAGACGTGACACAAGCTGCATTTTCTACCATATGACCAACAACGGACCTTGTCTGATAGTATCTTGAAAATCCTCAGGCTATAAATACAACTTACTTCCTGTTTAGTGTTTGACCTCATGAGTTGAATCCATCTCATTCACAGCTCATTTCAGACAAGTCATCCTTCAAATTTATATTGAGAAACCTGATATCCTAAGAGGAAATGACAAGTCTAGAGTTTATTGACATTTGTATGGTGAAAATTAGGAAATACAATCAAAGTTCAATTTTCCTCACATGAGTTTAATCCAGTTGCTAGCCTCATATGACAAGCATGGATTGCTGAAGATCAGTCCTGTTAGGTCGTCACTTGTTAGAATCAATACATTAAGATTTTGTACATTTTGCCAATCAGAAAGTTAAACACTAGAACATTTATTTTTTCCTGTCGAAAAGTTCAAACTATGATAAATGAGTTCAAATTTTGGTATGAAAGTAGAACCAATTCAAAATTAGACTTAAATATGAATAATTTTCTTCTTGGCGATTCAAAGTTGAATATCCTTGAAAAACACCTTTTTATAATAACCAAGCGTTACATTCAAAATTGTCATTACAATAAGACTATTCCCATATTTACCCAATTATTACCGCTAATAAAATATAATCACAACATAGAGAAATTCATTTCTGGAGACATGGCCCCTATACTAATATAGATGGACGCAAACCAATGCTTGATAATACCATCCTTTCTCTCCTCTATTTTCTTACTTTCCTACATCCCTATACCTCTTTCTTTGTACTTTATTCATAAACCCATAAATCATGTCGTCTCTCACTTTTCCCGCAGCTGGAATATGTGTTGTGTGTATTATCCAACTGTATGAATATTGTATCACTTGCTATCACAATAAAAAAAAAATGCAAAAAAATACAATAAGATCTGCTTTTGTGCTTTGACCACAAGGTATAAATTTGTTGCTGGTGCCGAGCAAATTGTCCGTGTTACTCAGTACCAAACAGCATCTAGGATGTGTCTTGGATTCCAAGTTGAAAAATCTTGGCAAGCAAATGGGGTACTGGTAAAAAGTTGTGAGATTTTCTTTAGTTTACTGACTGACTGACTGAGTTTGGTTTTACGCCGCTTTTAGCAATATTCCAGCAACATCACGGCGAGGGACACCAGAAATGGGCTTCACACATTGTACCCATGTGGGGATTCGAACCTGGGTCTTCGGCGTGACGATTCTTTAGTTTAAATGTCTTTGACATCATATGTCAAAATAACATTCAACAATTTAAAATGAATCCTTCCAGCCTGATCATCATTTAGGGATGACTGTCGATATAGATAATAGAGATCAATAATCGCTAACAAACTATCAATCCATTGTCAATAAATTGTCATAAAAGTGTGAAAGCACTGAATACATTTCACATCAGTGGTAAGTGGTGACATAATTATGGACGGATAACTAGCTAAACCACTCTCTGAACATATTTTAGAAGCAACCCATAAATAAAGAACTAGCTTTGTGTATTGTGTGAGTAATTAAAACTTTATTTTATCACAAAGGTTTTGTACAATGTTAGCGATGACATTGATATTGATATGAATAATCATTAAATATTCTTTCCTTGTGCCCTATCCTCATTAGTGGTATCTTGTATGTACTTCCCGATATTTGATGGTGACCCGTGAAGATCCGGGTTAGAATCGGTCTTCAGCAGTGACCCTTGCTTGTCATAAGAGGTGACTAACAGGATCGGGGCGGTCAGGCACGCTGACTTGGTTGACACATGTCAACGTATCCCAATTGCGTAAGTCGATGCCCATGATGTTGATCACTGGATTGTCTGGCCCTAACGAACTCATTATTGATCCTGGTAACCATGGTAACCGTGAAATACCTATCAACCCAACAAAGTCATCACAATTATATTGACATGGATTGTAATTGGATAATTTCAATTAAGGAATTTCTACTAAAATTTATTGCAGCCAAACACCAGCCTCTGCTGGGGTTTCAGTAAATCCCTGAGCATGTACTGAGTGTTAGCTAGGTGAGACATTTAACATGTATGTGTACACGGAAACTGTCTCAGTCATTCCTGACTACACACTGGCAAATTTCTTATTTGTTCTGGAAGTTGTTTCAAGTTTGTGAGGCAAGAGCCGTGTTTAAACACAAGGAGCATGTTGTTAATTGTTGAAGTTGGTGACGATGCTTTCTACCTTGTAGCTGCTTGCTTGAACTCTCTGGATTAATTCCCTCTGATATAATCATGACCGTCTCCATGGTAAATAACCTTTTTATCCCACCGGCATATAATGCGGTGGGATATAGTCGTCGCCTCGTCCGTCTGTCCGTCCGTCCGTCCGTCCGTCCGTCCGTCCGTCCGTCCGTCCGTCCGTAATCATTTTGTTTCCGGACCATAACTCAAAGACCGTTCGATATTTTTTAACCAAAATTGGTAGATATGTCAAAAATAACCTAAGGTGGTGCCTTTTGCTATTTACAGATAATTGTCATTTTTATTTTTCTCGGTTTCCATGGAAACGTTTTGGACTTAGTCTTAAAGAAGGGTGGGCTTCGTTTCCGGAGCATAACTCAAGAACCGTTCAATATTTTTCAACAAAACTTGGTAGATATATCAAACAGATCCTAAAGTGGTGCCTTTTGCATTTCACAGATTTTTGGCATTTTTATTTTTCCCGGTTTCCATGGAAACGATTTGGACTTAGTCCCAAAAGTGAGGGGTGGGCTTCGTTTCCAGAGCATAACTCAAGAACCGTTCAATATTTTTCAACAAAACTTGGTAGATGTATGAAACAGATCCTAAAGTTGTGCCTTTTGCTATTTGCCGATTTTTGGCATTTTTATTTTTCTTGGTTTCCATGGAAACATTTTGAACTTAGTCTCAAAAAGTAAGGATTGCTTTCGTTTCCGGAGCATAACTCAAGAACCATTCAATATTTTTCAACAAAACTTGGTAGATATATCAAACAGATCCTAAAGTTGTGCCTTTTGCTATTTGCAGATTTTTGGCATTTTTATTTTTCCCGGTTTCCATGGAAACGATTCGGACTTAGTCCCAAAAGTGAGGGGTGGGCTTCGTTTCCAGAGCATAACTCAAGAACCGTTCAATATTTTTCAACAAGACTTGGTAGATATATCAAACAGAACCTTAAGTGGTGCCTTTTGCTATTTGCAGATTTTGGCATTTTATTTTTCCGGTTTCCATGGAAACGATTCGGACTTAGTCCCAAAAGTGAGGGGTGGGCTTCGTTTCCAGACATAACTCAAGAACCGTTCAATATTTTCAACAAAACTTGGTAGATGTATGAAACAGAACCTTAAGTGGTGCCTTTTGCTATTTGCCGATTTTTGGCATTTTATTTTCTTGGTTTCCATGGAAACATTTTGGACTTAGTCTCAAAAGTAAGGATTGCTTTCGTTTCGAGACACAACTCAAAAACCATATAATATTTTTCAACAAAACTTGATAGATATATCAAACAGATCCTAAAGTTGTGCCTTTTGCTATTTGCAGATTTTGGCATTTTATTTTTCCGGTTTCCATGGAAGCGATTCGGACTTAATCCCAAAAGTGAGGGGTGGGCTTCGTTTCGAGACACAACTCAAAAACCTCTCTATATCTTTCAGCAAAACTTGGCAGATATGTGAGGCAGATATTGAAGTGATGCCTTTTGCTATTTGCAGATATTTGTGATTTATTATTTTCTCGGTTTCCATGGAAATGATTGAACTTAGTCTCAAAAGGAAGGGATGGGTTTTGTTTCGAGCACTGCGCGAAAACTTCTTAATATCTTTCAGCAAAACTTGGCAGATATGTGAGGCAGATCCCAAAGTGGTGCCTTTGCTATTTGCAGATTTTTGTCATTTATTTTTTTTCATGATTTCCATGGAAACGATTTGCACTTAGTCTAAAATCAAGCTGGACTTTAAGTAACTGTCAGATGATTTGTTCTTTCAAAGATGTGGGGGCGGGGATATGTCATCTTCTGATGACTCTTGTTTACATAGCATCGATCTACGTAACTGGGATGTGATGACATGTGTCAACCAAAGCTAATGGGTACATTTGTTCACCTTACATACCGTTTAGAGCTTGAAATGTCTGGTGCAACCACACCTGGATAAGGTGTGATATCTGAGACTTTCTTTGTGTATGAAGATGTTAAGTCCTGTGACCTAAATGGAAACCATTTGTCGTGATAGGTGCTATTTTACGAATGCTACATCGTAATGTGACTGCACAGTTTTATCGGTTTTACACTTTTCAAACGATACGCATTGCAATATTTTTTCAGGAAGGTATTTGATAAATGTTTAAAAGACATTTTGTGATTATAAGAATAATGAATGTTTATGAGACATTTTGTGTCTATGGTTTAAGTTAAAATCTATACAGAATTTCATCCACCACTGTCATTTCCCTTCATAATGAACTTACAATTTTTTTATTCTTCTGTGACATGTAAACATATTAAACCTTGTGAAGCTTCTGGTGACCATCAGGTGACCTTCAGTGTATCGAGATACACCTGAAGAACCACTGGCTTCTTTCAGCTGCTAACTGGTGAATTCAGGACAGTGGATGTCAGTATTAATTAATTTTGATAAGAATGCACATGTATTTGGAGGATGAGTTCAAACTAGGGACTGTTGATTGGATATTTGTGATGTGTTAATATTCATCACTCTACATCATTCCTTTGCTGATCCGATGAAGGTGAAAGTTACACTGTTCATTAACAGGGATATTGTACTACCTCAAGACATTCCTTATCAGAAACTGCAGTGTGGTAATGGTAACTCATGAACTTCTTGTGCCCAATTCATTGTAATTAAGTAAATACCCAGTTAGTATAAGGAGGAGTTTGAGGACAAAGGTTTGTTGTACCATTTTTGCATTTGTACCGTATTTGCTTAAAAATGACCCATAAAGATCCGGGTTAGAGTTGGTCTTCAGCAGCCCATGCTTGTCGTAACAGGTGACTGATGTTGACACATGTCATTGTATCCCAAATGCTCATGGTGTTGATTACTGGATCATCCTGACAGCCTCTGTGGTGCAGTAGTTAGGGCGTCTGCCCAGAGAGTAGAAGGTCGCGGGTTCGATCCCCGGCTGCGTCATACCAAAAGACGTTAAAATATGGTACTTGTTGGTCCCTGCCTGGCGGTTCGGAATTAATGGGTACAACAATGACTCGTCGGCTCGGAGTCCGTATAATGTGTCTGGGTGGGGTATTCATGCTTCACTGCGGCATGGTATCTCAGTGAGCTAGCACTATAAATCCAGCTGGTCTAGTACAAGCAGCCACACATATACCCACATACACATCGTCATATGAGCAAAATATTCTTAAGTACGACGTTAAACCCCATTTCACCTAATTTCACCTGGATTGTCTGGTCCAGACTTGATTATTTACAGACCGCAACCATATAGCTGGATTAGTGCTGAGTGCGTTGTTTAACAATATCAACAAATTGAATTAAAAAGTTTTTCATTTCAGATGCTTCCGTCAAGGATATCGTCAATGGCTGAGATGAAAGAGGAACTATGTCCTGTGCTGTTGGGGGAAGGCTCTGCTGAGCTTTCTCCAGGACAGGTTTCATCAATACTCTATTTAAGCCACCAATCAGAGTAAATGGAGCAAAACACACAGAGCAGTAGTGTTAGAAACTTGCCGGCAGGCAAGATGAAAAATATCAAGAAAATGTTTGAAACAGGAGAGACAAATGAAGAGTTGGAGAAGTCTCGGGAACCTGAAGGACAAGATGATGTGACAAAGCATCCCAAACCGGCACCAAGACAGAAACCTACCCTCTCCGCAAAACCAGCAATCACTTCTGCTAAGCCTGCCCTTCTTAAAGGGCAGAAACCACAGTCAGTAGAAAAGAGTTATGCAGATCCCAAGAAAGTAACTCAGTTGAAATCAAATGGAAACAAAAAGGCTGAAGTTGAGGGAAAGGCAGGCTTGGCAAAACTTAAGGTATCATCTGAGTCCTCGACTGCATCTCCAGCTTACGCTGTGCCAAAGAAGAAGCTGAGTCCAACAGTGACTCGCAGGATCAATGCTCTGCAGCAGGGTGTGGGAAGTGATAAGGAGAATGAGAAGGTGAAGCCACCAGTGCCACCGTCACCGGCGAAAGCTGGATCTAAGCCCTCTCTGAACATCCAGACAGATGCCAAAGGAGGAGATCGGAAAAGTGACCCAGCTGTGTCTGAGACTCTAACCAGAAACAGAAACAAGTCAAGGGAGCAGATTGAGCAGGAGAAGCTCCGTAGGAAATCTGAACCCAACAGTCCAAAGAGAATAATCAACGGCAGCGATGCTGATGATGAAGACTCTTTGCCAGTGGTTCAGAGGATGAAACGATTTGAGTCACCCCAGAAGAAACCCACTGAAGGTTCTCCTGTGAAAATTCAATCACCTAACAAATCCCCAAAGCATCATGCAGTACGCAGACAGAACAGTATAGGGACGGCTAGGGAGTTAACCCATTCCCCCTCTTCATGCTGGTGTATCCCCCTTTAATTTCTCCCGAACTAATCCCCCACTCCCTGACCTACCCCCACCTTCCAATGATAATACAAATGGAGGAGTTCCTCCACCACCTAAAAAACCACCCCGAACTCATGCGCATGATGAATACATTAAGGCAAAGGTGAAGAAGTCTCAAGAGGTTGTGATGGTTGAGAATGACTTATACGAAGGAAGCACAGAAAAGAAGGCTGCTGTGAAAGAAGGAAAGGGTCCAAATAAAACCCAAGGTAAAAATAAACAGAAAGATAAACAGAAAGATAAACGTGTCCATCATGTAACTAAACCTGTACCCAAAGACACCAATAAGTCACACGTGTCCAAAGATGATCCTAAACTAACATCAGGAAATGTCAAGGACAAACCTGAGGAGGACACATACAAGTCAATCAAAGATCGCATATCACTTCTACAACGACCCTTGTCTCAAGAGGATCCAGTTCGGCGTCATCCTCCATCAAGACCCCCACCACCAAAACAGCGACCTTTTTCCGTAGCAAACGATCACATGATCAACACCTCCACTATTCCTCGACGAGGACGTCCACCACCACCAAAGATACCACATATTGACATGGAGGAAAACCTTTCCAATGAATGTGACTTTACAGTGATCCATAAGAATGAACTTGCTCCTGTTCCTGAGAGCAAGAACATGGTGTTGTCAATGGTGGATGAACTGACCCAGAGACCTGTTCAGAGATTCCCATTACGGAAAAGTTTTAGTTCGGATGATTTGTACAATGCAGGCCTGATGAAAGGGGATCCAGTCTATATGGATCCGACGGAGACGTTAGGTTTTCGGGACGATATTTATGAGCCACTTATGGACGAGGAAGGATACGCAGTTCCAAACAAGTTTGTAAAGCGAGGACTTGTGAAGAAAACATCTCTTGACCCAGACATGATTGTGAGTATGGATACTTATTTAAACCTTTTGTCTTTCTGTTCACCTCTGTTCCCATCAGTTGTGTAACGATGCGTCAATACAATGCTGTATCGTGATAGTTGGATCATGATACATCAATATACAACTCCTGTATCGCGATAGAAGGATTATGACATGATACATCGATTTTTTTTAACACAATACAAGGATCATGATACGTTGATTTACAACTCATGTATCGCAATACAAGGATCATGATACAACGATTTACAACTCCTGTTTTGCAATACAAGGATCATGATACGTTGATTTACTACTCATGTATCGCAATACAAGGATCATGATACAACGATTTACAACTCCTGTATTGCAATACAAGGATCATGATACATTGATTTACAACTCCGGTATTGCAATACAAGGATCATGATACATTGATTTACAACTCCTGTTTTGCAATACAAGGATCATGATACGTTGATTTACAACTCCGGTATTGCAATACAAAGACCATGATATGTTGATTTACAACTCCTGTTTTGCAATACAAGGATCATGATATGTTGATTTACAACTCCTGTTTTGCAATACAAGGATCATGATACATTGATTTACAACTCCGGTATTGCAATTCAAAGACCATGATATGTTGATTTACAACTCCTGTTTTGCAATACAAGGATCATGATATGTTGATTTACAACTCCTGTATTGCAATACAAGGATCATGATATGTTGATTTACAACTCCTGGATTGCAATACAAGGATCACGATACATTGATTTACAACTCCGGTATTGCAATACAAGGATAATGATATGTTGATTTACAACTCCTGTTTTGCAATACAAGGATCATGATACTTTGATTTACAACTCCTGGATTGCAATACAAGGATCACGATACATTGATTTACAACTCCGGTATTGCAATACAAGGATCATGATATGTTGATTTACAACTCCTGTTTTGCAATACAAGGATCATGATATGTTGATTTACAACTCCTGTTTTGCAATACAAGGATCATGATATGTTGATTTACAACTCCTGTTTTGCAATACAAGGATCATGATATGTTGATTTACAACTCCTGTTTTGCAATACAAAGACCATGATATGTTGATTTACAACTCCTGTTTTGCAATACAAGGATCATGATATGTTGATTTACAACTCCTGTTTTGCAATACAAGGATCATGATATGTTGATTTACAACTCCTGTTTTGCAATACAAGGATCATGATATGTTGATTTACAACTCCTATTTTGCAATACAAGGATCATGATATGTTGATTTACAACTCCTGTTTTGCAATACAAAGACCATGATATGTTGATTTACAACTCCTGTTTTGCAATTCAAAGACCATGATATGTTGATTTACAACTCCTGTTTTGCAATACAAGGATCATGATACGTTGATTTACAACTCCTGTATTGCAATACAAGGATCATGATACTTTGATTTACAACTCCTGTTTTGCAATACAAGGATCATGATATGTTGATTTACAACTCCTGTTTTGCAATACAAGGATCATGATATGTTGATTTACAACTCCTGTTTTGCAATACAAAGACCATGATATGTTGATTTACAACTCCTGTTTTGCAATACAAGGATCATGATATGTTGATTTACAACTCCTGTTTTGCAATACAAGGATCATGATATGTTGATTTACAACTCCTGTTTTGCAATACAAGGATCATGATATGTTGATTTACAACTCCTATTTTGCAATACAAGGATCATGATATGTTGATTTACAACTCCTGTTTTGCAATACAAAGACCATGATATGTTGATTTACAACTCCTGTTTTGCAATTCAAAGACCATGATATGTTGATTTACAACTCCTGTTTTGCAATACAAGGATCATGATATGTTGATTTACAACTCCTGTATTGCAATACAAGGATCATGATACTTTGATTTACAACTCCTGGATTGCAATACAAGGATCACGATACATTGATTTACAACTCCGGTATTGCAATACAAGGATAATGATATGTTGATTTACAACTCCTGTTTTGCAATACAAGGATCATGATACTTTGATTTACAACTCCTGGATTGCAATACAAGGATCACGATACATTGATTTACAACTCCGGTATTGCAATACAAGGATCATGATATGTTGATTTACAACTCCTGTTTTGCAATACAAGGATCATGATATGTTGATTTACAACTCCTGTTTTGCAATACAAGGATCATGATATGTTGATTTACAACTCCTGTTTTGCAATACAAGGATCATGATATGTTGATTTACAACTCCTGTTTTGCAATACAAGGATCATGATATGTTGATTTACAACTCCTGTTTTGCAATACAAGGATCATGATATGTTGATTTACAACTCCTGTTTTGCAATACAAAGACCATGATATGTTGATTTACAACTCCTGTTTTGCAATACAAGGATCATGATATGTTGATTTACAACTCCTGTTTTGCAATACAAGGATCATGATACATTGATTTACAACTCCGGTATTGCAATTCAAAGACCATGATATGTTGATTTACAACTCCTGTTTTGCAATACAAAGACCATGATATGTTGATTTACAACTCCTGTTTTGCAATACAAGGATCATGATACTTTGATTTACAACTCCTGGATTGCAATACAAGGATCACGATACATTGATTTACAACTCCGGTATTGCAATACAAAGACCATGATATGTTGATTTACAACTCCTGTTTTGCAATACAAGGATCATGATATGTTGATTTACAACTCCTGTTTTGCAATACAAGGATCATGATATGTTGATTTACAACTCCTGGATTGCAATACAAAGACCATGATATGTTGATTTACAACTGGATTGCAATACAAGGATCACGATACTTTGATTTACAACTCCTGCATCACTATACAACAATCATGATATATAAATGAAAATAATATAAAAAATTACTTTTCTGATATACAACTCTAAAGGTATGAATATGTAACAAAGATGAAATATCGCTTCGATCATTTCCGGTTGAAAAGAATATTCATTGCATAATACAAATTACATACCAGTGTGTTTACCTCAAAGTTTGAACCGATGTAGACTGATCTGAGTTATGGCCCTTGGATATGACATACCTGGTCATTTGGTCAGAAATTGGCGACATTTGTGTTCTTCATGAGAATTTTTCAATTATAAACCAATAATATTTTAAGAACAAAACAATTTTGTGAACCAACTAAAACAAATGATTCTCTTTATCATGTGGGGTAGCCTAATGGTTAAAGCCTTCTCTCGTGACGCCGAAGACCCAGGTTCGATTCCCCACATGGGTACAATGTGTGAAGTCCATTTCTGGTGTCCCCTGCCATGATATTGCTGGAATATTGCTAAAAGCGGCGTAAAACCAAACTCACTCACTCACTCACTAAACATGGGGGTGTTCTCTGCAGATATGCATGATATCATGCTGGTGATATCTTCGTGTTCTGTCTGCATTAGCTGGTTGTTTCCTCGGGTGTGACAACATACACTTCCGTGAAACGCGCTTCAGGCAAACATATATATATTTGTCAGTTACTGTGACAGCTTCCTGGTTATTATGCAACCGTCTGTGCAACTGCTGTGTCCGAATATAGAGAGAAGGATCTTATATGTTACGCTCTCCGATTTGCAAGTATGAGAGATCTAGTTTCAGAAGGATAATTGTGATAATTCATCCATGTTTTAACTTGTCCTTTCAGGAAAGAAATGTAAGTGTTTTTACAACAGGCGTCGATTTTATGTTTGTCACTCAGCATGTTCTGCATGGTTCGTAGTATAAATTATGTTTCACGGATACCATCAAAATAGAAAGTTTTTAAAACATTTCGATGGATGTGAGAGATTTCTAATTGAACATGTAAACTTAGGGTTGGTAGGTTACCTTAGAGGATAAAGCAATTGCTCATGATGTCAAGGGTGTGGGTTGGATTCAACACATTTGTATTATATGAAGACATGTCTGGCATTGTCACATTCCTAAAATCAGTGTGAAGTCCAGCTCGCTTGCCTCAACAATTTTCCTTCATTGTATTCTAAGTCTACCTTGTTTATAACAGTCTGTTATTATCACATAATGCTTTCGTTGATTGTCCTGGCGATTGTCCTGTTGCCATGGAACGATTTAAAACCAG